CGTAGACCAATCACAACAGACTAGGCCATCTGACCAATCAGAGCAGAGCAGGCTCACGGAAAGGAGGGGTTTAGAGAGACTGAATCTTTGAACTGCTTTGAACGAATCGTTTGAGAATCGCTAGAAGATGAGGTGATATTAAATGCATATTTTGAGAAAACAAAAGCGTTTTTGACCTTGCATGCATGTAATCCTAGTGTAGGAGACTCACAAAACAATATCAGGAAGCTTAAAAATGACATAATAGGGGCACTTTAAACAATCCATGGTTTGTTCGGTCTCCACCTGTTTAAACATTTCAAACAGTGAAGGACTGATAGGTGAAATTACGTTCTGAATTCGTTCTCAGGAACTTTTCTGAAAGATAGATAGACACGAGCTGTGTCTGTGCCGTAGCAAAAACACTGAAATAAAACATAATCGCTCTGCATGAGATTTGAATCGAGGCTATAAATGATGGCTAGCTCTACGCCACGCCACACCGTCTCTGTCCACTGCTCCACAATCCTCCTCGGTGCCAGACACGCCTAGAGGGATACAGATCTTAGATCTTAAACATGTCATTTGAGACGTGAAGGCATGATCTGTCTCCGACTTCCTGAAAAATGTATTTTACCCCATTCTTTAGTCATTCATTAAGCTAAACATTTTTATTTCAATTTATCATAATATGCGTGTGTGTGTGTGTATGAGCAAGAGAGAGAGAGAGAGAGAGAGAGAGAAAGAAGTTTATAGAGGTTTTTGTAATCCCCTCATTCGAAGAATGGTCATCCTTGCACTAGGAAAACTTTTTTCCTCACGGAAAAATGCAAGGGATTAGATGTTATGATATTTAGGGATTAAATATTAGATGTGTTATTTAATACCTTTTTATACAGGCATCAGATTATATGTGTGCGCGCACACACATATTGTGACATGTTCTGTGTTCTATGAAATGCCTGAGATCTATTTATCTAAGCGTACCTTGGAATGCTACCAAATTCCTCCCCAGTCATGCGGGCATCAGATGCCAGACACCAACGGACCATAAAATCTTCAAAAACATTCCTCAGGACTTCATTTATGGTGTCCTCACCAGACAGAGTTGTACAAACATCATATTTCTCCCCCCGGAGGGTAAAGGTCGACATCGGAATTCCACATATGCGGATTTACACATCCAGATATCATTAACAGGTCAAAGGTCACATCTGGATATCATTAACAGGTCACGGGGTCAGCGCAACGTGGGTGGGCCACGTGGGGGAGGGGAAAGGTCAAAGCCATAAATCATTCTTGACACATGCCGAATCATACGGACTACTTACAACATAATAAAAAGAAGGCTTCAAACAGATGTATGGGTCTATATACAAAATGCCCATTATATTCTCTGTATCTATCAGTTTTGTAACTCTATTAATCAAACAAATTAACCATTTCTCATTATGACATCTCACCAATTGTGAAGTGTTGCTAAAAATATACCTTTCATGACAGAAGGCTCTGTTTGTGGAATTTTCATTCTATTTGTTTTCAAATAAATATAGTAGTGTTAATGTATGTATTATTCAAATTCCATTCAACATTTGACTAGATACATGAAACTAACAATAAAACACTCAGAATATGAATCTTTATACAGTATAGCACTAGGCTTGTTTGGGAAGTACACCTTCAGTATTTTTATACAGACTCCCTATAAACTCCCTACAATATTAACAGAAAAATTCTATGAAATAAAGAATATAGTATAATCAAACATTACATTGAATCTAAATGCATTTATGAAAAATGTTTATCCCTGAGAGAAATGGAGTAACATATGTAATATAGAGGTAAGTAATATCTATATATTGCCTGTTGATTGTTGTATGTGAATGTATATGAGCATTTATGTTAGAAGACTGTGTTGTTATAACTAGCTATTTTTGTAATGTAAACATAAGCAATAAAACTATAAAAAAAGAGAGTAAGAGCCTATTAAATCTCTTCAGATGATCTTTTTCCAGGTCATCTATTAAATCATAAAGCAGCTTTAAAACAGATGCCATTGTCTTTCGTGGACTGTTTGAAGATGAAAAGGATAACGTTTTCAAGAAGCTGCACTTTTATGGGATCTATGAAGACAAACATGTGCATAATGAAATGACACTTAGTCATTTTTTTTTTTATTATTTTAAGGGCAAAAAATAAAAACAACTAATTAAATTCTTCAGGTTGTTTAATAATTTAGGATTATACTGGTATGGTTTGAAAGATTTGGCTCAATGCTGGTGATGTGAAATTGAGTTTCATCAAACTTATGGACCTGCCCTTAATATGTTATAACTGAGTGAAGCAAAACATCTCCAGTGTTGTAAAATGCCTTAGGCTCCTGAGGGTTAAAGTACAAAAAGTTTGTGCCAAAAGTTAATAATTGCACTCAAGATGTCTGAGGAAATGTTTCACATTTTGTCACATGTAATATCTTGGCTTGTCTATCACATTACAGACCAGAAAAACATAAATATTCAAGTTTTACTGATTGAAAAACAAGGGCAATATAATAAAAATCTACAAAAACCAGCACGTGCATATTATAATTATTTTAGATCTTAAGAGATTTATGGTAAACCTAATTTAAGCTTTAACATTTCTATTCTCTGATGTATAGATGCACATGATGAATCAGTTAAATTAAAGGTTGTAATGTTGAATAAGTCTGTGTATTTATGATAAAATTGCATGAGAAATGAGAAACATGAGACATGAGAAACAACTTATTAAACTTCATGTCAATAACTTTGCTGCATGAATCTGCTGTGATTACTGGAAACAGTGATCAGTAAACAAGGTATTTATTAACTCACCTTAATAATGAGAAACTTTGGCGAAGTATCTTTCTCCTCCTCTGAAGTGGCAGCTTGTTCAACAGAAGTGCTGCTATTCTTCTCGCTTATGCTTTCTTCTTCAGTGGGCATGTCTCTCAGTACTGCCACTCCCTATAGAGCAGGGGTGGGGAACGTTGATGCTGGAGGGCCGGTGTCCCTGCAGAGTTTAGCTCCAACTTTAATCAAACACACCTGAACAAGCTAATCAAGGTCTTCAGGATACAGGTGTTTTTTTTCAGGGATGGAGCTAAACTCTGCAGGACATTAGCTCTCGAGGATCAACGTTCCCCACTCCCTGCTATAGAGACAGAGCGCATTTAGGCCACGCCCACACTGGAGGCGGGGGTGGGATCCAACGCTCTCCATTGACTTTCTATTGCGGGAAGCTGCCTCCTTGTCATTTCTGACTTATAACAAAAAACAGAGCACTGCCTAAAAGCTGCCATGTGACAAGGTGTACAGTAAACAAGCTAAAAACACAGAACTACTTTTTTTTCAGAACGTTTTTATTCTGAAAATAAAACGAGCGTTTAGGACACAATAGTTGTAGATGTCTGAGTATTTCACGTTGGGCCGTTCAGTTGGATCATTTCTCAAACAAAAGGAAGGTTAAGAAAAGGGGCACATCTATTGGACATAGACCAATAAAATTTAGTTTCTTAATATATCTCCTGCTCTCAGATTCACATAGGGTGGTGAAATAATCCTTTGACATTGTTAAAAATAATGAATGGTCTTGTCGCCGATTACGTTTCTCTCCAGTGGGCGCAGTTCTCAGAGTAATATGACACGTTGCGCTCTACTTTTGTGTCCTAAATGCTCGTTTTTAGGGTCGACAGCTTATAAAAATGTAGTTCTGGCTTGTTTACTGTACACCTTGTCACATAGCAGCTTTTAGACATTGCTCTGATTTTTTGTTATAAGTCAGAAATGACAAGGAGGCAGCTTACCGCAATAGAAAGTCAATGGAGAGCGTTGGATTCTTGTAGCCATGGTAACAGCAAATTAACCATGATGTCGTTACTTCAAATAATGATTTACAAAGAAGTATTAAGATAATAATTTTTGTGGTTATAAAAACAGACCTAAGCCAACAATAGCCTTTAAAAGGACTTAAAATGCATTATATAAAAACAATGAGGCAATAATGATTGGTTAATAACACTGTTAAAATACATACAGTAATGTAGGCTAATACAAAATAAACTATTTATGTACATTACATGTTATTACAAATGCCTGCAAAGGGAGCCAAAGGCCTGGTAATTGCTGCTGCTACACTTACAGGACAATCAAATCCTTCTTTAGGCTATTGGCCAAACATTTAATTCAAATATTCACTTAATCTTTCATTTTTGGCCAGCTTTTTGCTATAGATGACACAACCTCTATAATTTCTTCAACAAAAAACATGTGGACATCACAACCCTTACAAAAATAAACCATGGTTTTATCGTAGTAAAACTGCATAATTTTCTTTTGCGTGATTTCTGAATGCTTGAGACTATAAAATCGATTAGACAACTGTATTAATAAAGTCATAGCCATAGGTAACTGTATAGAGCTACAATTGTAATTTGTAAATAATACAATTTATTTATTTACTTTAATATTTTATTAAAGTTCTATTTTGACCCCTATAGTAGTTTTTTTTTTTTCTCTCCATAATATTTGAGGAAGGGGTCACAACAATATAATCCTGCTTAGGGGAGCTAATAATATTATTGAGCTAATATTATATGTGCCTAAAACTGTGTTTTCCATAGTAATCAAAACATAATTTGCATGTTTATTAATCATGGGGACCTGTATACACACACAGCCTCAGTGTGGTTTCCTCAGACCAGGTTTATCGTTCAGTAATTTAAAATGAAAACTCTTTCTAAAGTCCCGTACACAGATGATAGGAGAGTCCAAAAGAGACAGACAGACAGACATCACTGAGACACAGATAAACAGAGACAGACACACTTATTAGCTTGATATTCAATGTAACATGAATGGAATAGTACATCCAAAATGTAAAGTATTATTTAGAATAACATTCACTTACACTCATGTTTCTTGCGTGGAACACAAATTTTAGTGTGTAGATTCGCTTCCAATTGCCATGCCAGATATTTAGAGTGAACGACATATAATGCACAAAACTATGTAACACTATTTTTTAGTTTCTGAGCGGAACAAAACTGTTGTTTTTTCATGTTTTCAAAGTGTTTTCATGCTCAAATCACTAATAAAATTATAATTAATGCACTGACAATTCAAGACACTTAAATAGTTTTTTAAACAGGCAAATAAGTGATGGTTTGGATAAAAAATGAAGGCATTAATTGTAGAGTTGAAACAGTTGTATATCAGTATAGTTTATATTAAATCTGGACGGAGACTCAGCTCATTATTCATCAGCCTGTTTGAACACCTGCTCCAGAAAACATGGCATGGATGGAAATGCATATTAATGCACATTAGCCATGTAAACTTATGGCCAATTTGCATCTTTCTGGCATCCATATTTAGACTCACACAAGAGGAAGACAGGAGTGTATTAACATGCACACAAACACACTGTACTAATGACAGCATAAGTGTTTCAAACCGTCACAATATTTGACAGTAAGACACCTAATTATCCAAAAATATCTTAATTCACATACCTCAATCAAGCTTCTGTAAGCTCTGGCCCTTGTTTGTCTTGCATTGAAAACAGGTGGACTACCCACAAGTCCTTGGGGTGTCTCTCTCTCTCTCTCATCTGGCTGCAGTGGGAACAGCTTGCGGGTCCAGTGGGGAAACAGCTTGCAGATGAGTTGGTCAAATGCATTAACGGGGGGTTTTGTATTTAGCATCAGCTCTCTGCTCGGTCTTATGCTTCATGTCCACTGAGTTCATTCCTGTTAGAGAAATTTTCTAAGTTCTAACAGCCATCTGAATGCAGGAACCGTCCTGTAGGTGTTGGTTAAGATCGTACTGATGACAGGATTCTGCAAATTAACCTGGATGTCTTCAGGTCACCATTACCTGATTAACCCTGCACTGCATTACCATCTCAAGGCCTTAGCCAGTGGGATGCCTACAGAAGAGCAATACAAGCTAAACATGTATAAAATTAGGAAATTATGTGATCTGGCTTTTCACGTCTCATCAATACTGCATTGTTTCACATTTGGCAAATGCTTTTATCCAAAATGACCTGAATTGCATTGAAACTAAACATTTTATCGAACCATGGCCTTTACCTGCACTATATGCAATATTTTGATTTATCCCAATAAATGTTTGGAGCATGTTAACTCTTTGTCATTGTCAAAAACAAAAAAAAAGTATTTACAGTAGTAACAATAACTGAAGCATTACTTCAAACGAGATTTACCGCAGCAAATTTGAGTCATTTAAAGAGCATAAAAGGATTAACTTGCCTCAGTCTATTTTTTCCAGCTTCCCTCTTCCCAAATTCACCTGATAAATGCATATTTACCATCTTACTGACTCCAAACATTTGACTGGTAATGTATCACTGTTTCCACAAAAATACGAAGCAGCACTTTTTAACAATTTATTTTAGGTTAAAATGAATTCTATGTTGATTTTACTTTATAAATATACCACTATAAATAGTTAACTTATATTTGTTCATATATATATATATATATATATATAATTTTTGTAGTTTTATTAAGTAATATTTCCACAATATCACTGTTTTTACTATGTGTATGAACAAATAAATGCAGTCTTGCTGAACATAAACAAAAACAAAAAATGATTCCAAACTATACTGGTACTGTATATATCTAGTAGAATAAAACTAATGGTTTTTCTATTGGTCTTGTGTTTCTGAATACACTCATGAAGGTCCCTGCTAATTAGCAGCAGCTTTATAAGAACTCACTCTAGGCACGGTGAGACTGGTAATGACTGGCACGCTGCGACACTGCTTGGCAAGGACCTTCATCACTGGCACAGTCTGGTGTAGATCTGGCTTCAGATGTAGAGGCTGGCATACTGTCAGATGGCAAAGTTTGGCAGGACACAGCAGAGGCTGGCATATATAAACAAGGCTTGGCATGACATGTGCCTGCGCTCTGTGCCACCCAAACCATAAAGAAGTTTAATTAGAGTTTTGGCCCTTCATGGTAAAAAAATATGGGCACCCCATCTTAATGTACATTTGACAAATTAATACCTAGTTAAGGAATATTGCATTAAACCTAGGGAAATATACACCATAATAATGCAATTAGTTGAGCTGCAGGTAAATGAAGTAAGCATTAAGGAAGGTCATGCTCTGGAATCACAATCTATTGAAATAATCAAGACTTACACATGTGACATGACTAATTATAGCTGATTAAGTCATACCCCATGCTGCTACTAATGTGTTTGTTCGGAGCAGTCCTTGATCAGACTCTCCTTATTAATTAAATTTTCTTCTTAAAACTCATTAAAATTACATTTGAAGGAACTCATGACCTGTTGCAAAACTCCAGTTAATATAAAGAGCCACAGAATTTTATATTATCACTCTCATATAGACAAACAGGTAGTGAAATCATAATCACCTGTGTGCGGCTCAGGATTTCAGCTCTATTTCTGAAGGACAGGACTGTGTTATCTGAGAGCCGCAGACTCTCCTGCTCTTGACCTGAGCTTTCCTCACTCAATTCCATGCGGATACGCTTCAATATGCATCCGCAGCCTTTTCATAGACAGAGATGAAGAGATGCAGATATTAAATGAAAAGGAGTGTGATTGTTGAAGACATAATAGAGAGAATGCAGAAAGAAATCAGGCTGATGCGCTACATTAAACTGATAACAGATAAACACTGTTGTCACAAATATGCAGAATTTAAAGGTAGTTAAAAAACAATCAAACTACGGAGAAAGTAGCCTAATTAACACTACAAAATATAAAAAAGAAGTTAACAACACTGATGTAACTTGAGGGGACAATATAAACTGTAACTATTAGGTGACATTTATTTTTGCAGAAGAATCTGTTTATCCAGCACTAAACAATAAGAATCTCAGTTA